GCGTATTTATCGCATATGTTATCTCCGTAGAGATTTCTTACCGACAAAGATAAGATAGTGGATATTTTACATAATAAAAATTGCAAAAAATTTATTTTTATTCTGTCCTGGAAAAAACTTTTTCAACAGTTTTGTTTTTTTTTTAATAACTCTCCCTTTATACATACTGGTATGTTTAACTGCAACAAATTCTCTAACTTAATAAATAACAGTTTGTCGTAAAATTCCTGAAACATGTCTATTTTTATTTTCAACGGGGCATATTAGAAAGAGGTTTGTTTATTTTTTTAATTATGTGAAGGTTGCAATAACCCCTAACTTTTTTTAATGGAAGAGTAGGTTGATTATTTTAAAGCTTTTTCAATTGCAAATACAATTACGTATTTTTTTTGTTACTTTTTATAAGCAATGTGTCGAAAAAAAAATAAAATAAGGGAATTACTGAAACTTCTTTAATGTCAGCATGTTTTTCTTACTTGATATGTCACAATAACAATTCCATACCTTATCACCTGTTGGATAGTTTTTCGGCCAATTTGAATTGAATGTGATTTGTTAATACTCGGTTGTTTGCTGACGTACATCCAGAAATGGCTCCAATTTATCGATTAGTAAAATCGAAACTCGATATCGGGAGTTGGGCCACCGGACAAATATACCTAACTATGCTCCAAGATGAACTGGTCCTTGCTTCAGCGGTTTTATTCCCCAATAATTTGGGACCCGATTTATTTGACCAACGGATATGGTCTCAACAAGATGGGGCACCAGCATATTTTCCTCAAAATTTACGGACTTTTCTCAACGAAATGTTTCCGATTAGGTGGATTGGAAGAATGGCCCTATTGAGTGGCCAGTGAGATCATCCGATCTTACCCCATTAGAATTTTTTTATGGAGATATCTAAAAAGCAAAATTTATGCTACTAAACCTAACGACATCGTTGAGCTTCAATAAAGAATCATGGGTGAAATTAGGCAAGTAACGCCGGAAGTGTTACAAAATGCTTTTTATTATCGATTAAGATATNTCAGCATGTTTTTCTTACTTGATATGTCACAATAACAATTCCATACCTTATCACCTGTTGGATAGTTTTTCGGCCAATTTGAATTGAATGTGATTGATTTGTTAGTACTTGGTTGTTTGCTGCAGTACATCCAGAAATGCCTCCAATTTATCGAAGTACGATTAGTAAAATCGAAACTCGATATCGGTAGTTGGTCCACGTGAGGGATGCTCCTCGACAAATCCTTTAAAAATCGAGGAAGAAACCCGGTTGAACATGTTGTTGGAAGTTGAAGAAAATCCTGTTAAAGCTTAACGACGATGATCTTGATCGTAGACTGAACTTTTGCGAACGAATCGTGGCTTCTATCGATGGTGGGCAAATTGCTTTAGAATGGGTGCTGTTTTCTGATGAAGCTACGTTCACATCACATGGGTACGTAAATCGGCACAACTACCCTTACTGGGCTAAAGAAAATCCCCACTGTATGCGTGAATGCCATACTCAAAGTCCTCAAAAAACAAACGTCTGGGCTGGAATTATTGGGGATCGCATAATAGGTCCTGTATTTTTCAATGAAAATGTAACCGCACAAATATAACTATGCTCCTAGATGAACTGGTTTCTACTTTAGCGGTTTTATTCCTCAATATTTTGGATCTCGATTTATCTGATCAACGGATATGGTCTTAACAAGACGGGGCACCACCACATTTTCCTTAAAATGTATGGACCTACGAAGTATTTCCGAATAGGTGGCTTGGAAGAAGTGCCCTATTGAGTGGCCGGCAAGATCACCCAATCTTACCCCATTAGAATTTTTTTATGGAGATATCTAAAAAGCAAAATTTATGCTACTAAACCTAACGACATCGTTGAGCTTCAATAAAGAATCATGGGTGAAATTAGGCAAGTAACGCCGGAAGTGTTACAAAATGCTTTTTATTATCGATTAAGATATTGTCAGCAAAAGGTGGAGGGTACTTTGAAAATTTTTTGCATGAAAGTAGTTTCAGTAAACATTTCCTTATTTCATTTTTTTGCGACACATTGCTTGTAAAAAGTAACAAAAAAAATACGAAATTGTATTTGCTATTGAAAAAGCGTTAAAATAAAAAATTAATCAACATACACTTCAATTAAAAAAGTTGGAGGTTGCTGCATTAATTAAAAAAATAAACAAACCTCTTTGTGGTCCACCACGCCTCGGTGGCTAGGGACCAAACGGCAAATGTTATATAACCCTGTTTAGGTGGGTAGGTGTAAGTTGATTATGGTTACATTTTAAAAATATTTTGATACATGCAGGGTGTCCAGGAAAAACGAACCATATCAAAGTTATATATTTTTAAATAGAACACCCTGTATTTTACTGTATTTTTGAAAGCACTTATTGTTTGTGAGACATTTCAATTTTAGTGAAAATGCAGGCATAGCGTAAAAATTTAATATTAACAATAAAAAAATAATTTTAAGGAAGCAGCTCTGGAGAGTGTATTTTAGATCCTTGAAGTTATAAATTATTATATTTGTCGTCACTTAGTATTGCACAGGGTGTTCAAAAAACTGCTGAATACTTCTCACAACATTAAACAGCAATAACTTGGTTATTTTGAATGGGACACCCAATATATTTTTACTTTGGAAGTTAGGAAATTTAAAACTCTTTCAAACTGTGTATATATATTTGGGGTGATCTGGGGTGGCAAGTGTATCTCTAATCCTTTCCTTCATATCATCGCAAGTGGTAAGTGGAACATTGTGTATAAGATTTTTTATATAGGTAGCCGGAAACAAAGAGGTGAGGTCTGGATACCTAGGTGGCCACTGATATGCACCATTCTAAGTTTTCTAATAAAAAATATTATTTTATAAGCAGAATAATTATAAAAAGTTATTAATTTTGTATAAATATATTTGTAGTAAGTAACTGAATTATTTATATACATGAAAAATATTTATTAAAGAAAATTTTACTTTTAGAAGAAACAAAGAAAAATTTAATAGATGTTCGAATTGATAACTATTCTCTTGAATACAGCATCTTATTCTATCTTCAAATAATATTCTCTCATTCCTTAGAATATTTGGGGTGATTGTGGCAAATGCATCTCTAATATTTCCCTTCATATCATCGCAAGTAGTAGGTGGAACACTGTGTACAAGATTTTTTATATAGCCCGAAACATAGGTTACGGGAAGTTTGGACACCTAAGTAGCCACTGACATGGGCCATTCCTACCTATTCATTTATTACTAAATTTTCGATTTAAATAATTTCTCACTGAATATGAAAAATTTGAAGGTGCACCATTTAATTGCATCCTCATTTTTCTCCTTATATTTAAAGAGAGGTCATCAAGAAGAAGCCAAACTAATTCAATAAAGACCTCGATGAAGAACCGTGGATACATCTTACATAAAAATTCGATAAAAAATGAAACGGTACAAATATCTCGAATACCGTTAAAGATAGGTACAGGGAACCCATACACAGTTCGAAAAAGTTTTAAATTTCCTAATTTTCAAAGTAAAAATATAGTGGGTGTCCCATTTAAAATTACCAAGTTTAATGCTGTTTAAAGTTTAAAGAAGTATTCAGCAGTTTTTTGAACACCCTGTATTAAGTGACGACAAATATAATAATTTATAACTTCCACTTCAAAATACATAACTTTGATGTGGTACGCATTTTCTGTATATTTCAAAATATTTTTAAAATGTAGCCGTAATCAACCTACACGTACCCACCTAAACAGGTTTCTATAATATTTGCCATTTGGTCCCTAGCGACCGAGGCGTTACTGCTGGCTAGGGTTTCTGGTCGAGACTTCTCGAAGCGATAATACCCGGGAAATCTGGCCATACTCGAGACGAGAAAAAAGTGTCGAGAAATCGAGAAATTTAAAAATCACGCACGTCTTAAGTTCTTGACTAGAATTCGTTTCGTTCATGCGTTCAATTCGTTTCTCGACAAATAACTAAGCGGTGAAAGCTGTTTCTCGACTAGCTCATGATTTATTTATTAAGTTTTTAAGGCTTTAGTTTGCTTTGATGATTTTTATTTTTTTAATGTACCTAGTTATAAGTCTGTGTAGAAATTTTATTATAAGCAGATATCTAATGCTGATGTTCATTCTGAAAATATTTAGTTCCTGTTCCTTTAGTTGATTATTTTATTTTTGGTTTGTTAATTGAAAGATTGTGATTATAAGTGATAAATTAGCAGAGAAGGCTTCTGTATCTTTAAATTAAAGCTTGTTTTTTTTTATTTCTTCGGTTAAATTAGTTATCTACTGTTTGTTTAATTAAAAGATGCAGTCTTTTAATAAATGATTGTTAATAATTATTGGAAGAAAGCTACGATTCAAAAACATTGAAATAAACATAAGTATATTGAAAGTGTTTAATAAAAAAAAACAAGTTAAAGGTTTTCAAGAAGAAGATATTCAAAGTTTAATTTAGTTTTGTTAGTAGAAGTAGAAACATAAAATTAATAAAAATACTGATTAAATAATAAATGTTAATGATGATTGTTAAGTATAATAGCATGTTTATATTTCGCATTGCAATACCAAAATTATGACTTTTTTAAGTTTTAGAAATTTCTCGAGAATTCGAGAATTCCCGGGAATTCCTAGTCGAGAATTCTCGAGTCCCGAGAAAAAAAGTAGGCCGAGAAATCAGAAACCCTACTGGTGGCCCACCCTGTATATTAAGTTACGAAAATTGTTCCAATTAAAATTTCCACTCTGTATAAATTGGGGATTATTATACTGTTACTCTTATTTATATTTTGATAATGGAACCTATTTCATCATTCGTCGCATTATTTTCAAGAACGCCCTGTACAAATTTTAGTTCTCCGCTTGCTTTCATTTTTATTTCCCGAGTAAATGGTAAATGGTAAATGAACGATTATTATATTTATCTTCATTTTATCATATATTTATCTTTGCCCGTCAGTGCATTATCTCAAGTTTGTTTTCAGAAAAACCAAACACCATGGGTTGCGTTGAATTTGCAGCCACATTAGGATCTATCATTCTTTTAATCATCACTCTACCATTTTCTCTGTTTTGGTGCTTTAAGGTCTGTATAAGCTTTTTTTAATCATACATTTTTAATATCAGTTTTTGTGCTTTTACTTAATTTTGAAGGGTAATAAAGTCCAAAATTAATGTAGTTCTGTTTCTAATTATTAGCTTGTCTTAGAAGTTGCTATTCACAAAACGTTGATGTTGATACCAAAGAGCATAATATCATCATCATTATACATATGACAATTTTAATAAAATTTTGTGACTTGATTTAGCTTTTACCTTTCAGAGTTTATTTAAGTACATTTAAACATGGTGATATCGTGAAGTTTTATCACATTTTTCGTATGGTATACAGCTCTACTATTAGTCGTAAGGGACAACAGTTTAAAATCGATTTAACCGACTTCCAGGTGGTGCAAGAATATGAACGCGCAGTTATTTTTAGACTGGGTAGACTGCGGACGGGAGGCGCGAGGGGTCCGGGGATATTTTTCGTGTTACCCTGCCTGGACAGCTACTGCAAAGTGGATTTGAGGACGGTGTCTTTCGACGTACCCCCGCAGGAGGTGAGTATATACAGGGCATAAATAATAAAGCGCCAAAAAATTGGGGTGATTCCTTGTTGAAAATTAAACGAGGTAATTTCTTCTATGGCTAATAATGTTATATAAAAAATTTTAGATAGCTTACATTTCAATAACCCGAAATGAATGTATGATGTATGAATTTTTAGGTCTCATTGAGTACAGTTTGCAAAAAACTGACATTTGTGATTTCTAAAATGCTCAAAAGAAAAATAGCAGGATGAATTAGTTAAAACCGTTTTTTTATTATGCGTCTAATTTTATAGTGTGTATCAGCCAAATGGAATAAATTCAATAATAAATAAATGGGGGCGTGTTCGAAAAACCGCTCGAACACGTCGATTGGTACTTTTAGTTGCGCATTTTCTTCAATAAAAACTTTTTATACAGGGTGTGTCATGTAACAGTGCTCAATACTAACTTTCTTATTTTAAATACAACACCCTGTATATTATTAAATTTTTGGGTTCTTCAGAACATTCTAGACATATTTCATGTAAAATGTCCTATACCTATCTTCAACTGTTTAGGAAATATTAAGTGTTTTCAAATTTATTGCAAAAATTAACATTAAAAAAGAAAATTATTTGATTACAGAAATTCGCTACAACACACTCAATACTTATTTCCCATTTAGCTCTTGCTAATGAGAAAGTAAACAAAAACCATTTCAGCGTTCCTTTTTACTGATATGAAATAAAAAAACTATAAATAGTTTTGTTTACTTTTGTTTAAAACGCCTGGCCTTAGCAACGTGTTGTCTGCCTGCATGACAGTAGTTGTCAGTGTTATAGTCGTTTGAATTTCGTTAACTGCATATCAGAAAAATGGTTCGTTTAACAGAAATGCACAAAATAACAATAACTGCAGATGATTGATTATGGAGATAACACACGGACAGAAATGGAAGTTGCTCGTTTATTTCATGAAAGATTTCCAAATGCCGTCTATATCCCAAGGAATAATTAGTAAAATAAAAAAGGTTTCGCTCGCTTGGACAAGTAAGGCAGATAAAAAGAGCAGCTGCCAATGTAATAAGTGATTAATAATTTAAGATTAGGATGTTGCCATGCCAAGACGTTCGCGGCAAGCATTTTGAACACCTACATTGACAATAATGTTTTTTTTTTACTTTTTTACATTATCAATAAGCAGTATTACTTATTAGTTTTTGTGTGTTGTAGGGAATTTCTGTAATCAAACAATTTTCTTTTTTTAATGATAATTTTTCCAATAAATCTGAAAACATTAATATTTCCGAAACAGTTGAAGGTAGGCATAGAACATTGTACATGAAATATGTATGAATTTTCTGAAGAATCCAAAAATTTAATAATATACATTTGTGCTGCATTTAAAATAAGAAAGTTGATATTGACCACTGTTACATGACACACCCTGTATAAAAAGTTTTTGTTAAAAAAATACGCAACTAAAAATACCAATCGATGTGTCCGAGCGTTTTTTCGAACACGCCCCCATTTATTTAATATTGAATTTATTCCATTTGGCTGATACACACTGTATACAGTGAATCAGAAAGATGTACGGGTGCAAATTTAAATAATAAGAATAACACTATACAGGGTGTAACTTTAAGTGGGGGTATTACAAATACATGAAGCACTGTGGGCAGCCCACAGTGCATGCGGAGGGAGATAGTGTAGGTCGACGGTGACGAAGCGAAGGGGGTCAGTCGTTTCGTATTTGAAGACAGTAAATCTAACTGTGAATTTGAAGTTATATCTAAACAGAAAACAATTCGTTATTAAATTCCAAAGGAACTCCGTATCCTGAGGTCCACATAGTTAAAAGTGGTAGGTTACACATGTAAGAGATTATGAATTGAATGCCAATACAAGAATATTCCACTCGTTCTCGCGACGAGTGGTGTGGCGCGGCATTATTTGAGGTTACACTAGCTTGTCCAGCGGCGGAGTACTAAAATCACTAAAAAAAGGTTAAAAAAAATTAGTTTTTATGACCGAATTTGACAAAATAAACTATTGATACGTGTTTCTAAAAGTCAAAGGAAACCTCTGTATAAATATGACCCCCACTCAAAATTACACCCTGTATAGTATACTGAAATGAAATTAACCTAACATAACCTAACCCCTTCAGGCTTTACAAATTTCTAATTATATACAGTCCGTACGATATTTGTTGAGATAGCGTTCCAAGAAGACCTCTGCGTCACTTTCTTGGAATTAACCGCATTCGACACCCGAGGTAGAAAGATACTGACTGAAAATTTCAAGGCACGCCCTTGCCACGGTAAATTGTTACAGTAGTTCCGATAACAGAACTCTATTGGCTTTTTCTTTTCTTGGAATTTTCTTATGCTGAAATTTTGGTGAGAAAAGATATCAAATATCGAATAACCCTTTCTGGAATTTATTTGCACAAAAATATATGTCCTGAGACAACATCCCGATAGGAGGAAAACTGCATCTGCAACAATGCAGTAATAAATTGTTTTAGTGCATTTGCATTTCATTGCCTCTCTTCTCTCCCGCTAATTTAGACCTGAAGTAGTTAGTTTTAAATAAAAATGGAATTTCAATTGGGTGAAACTAACTTTCACAAACTTAATTGTCATTAAGGGAGATCGTTCCTTGTATTGTTTAAATATTGAAGATGCTGGACAGAGGCGTAGAAATAAAAAGATAATTTAATAAAGAATTTACACGAAACAACTGAATTGGCGACTGTTCCGAAGAAAATGCCTTCTTATTTTTTTGTTTTTCGTGTCTAAGAATTGGCGATATAAGCAAAGTTATGTAAAAAAAATATTTGCTATTAAATGCTTTTTCAATAATAGGAAGAGTCTAATTAATTATTTTTATGACTGTTTCCACGTTTAGGGAAAAAAATAAAAACAAAATTTTTCTCTCCTCATTTGAAGAGCCGTAAATCCAGTGGCGGCTGGTGCGGAGGGGCTTTAGGGCGCCGCCTTCTTAGAAATTTTAGTAGTAAAAAAATTCAATTTAAAATTTAGTCTACAATGTTATCTACATAATTAAATAGATTAGCCTTATGAAACACATTAAAAAGGAAATATTAAATTTCTAATGTTCAGTTAATTTAACTCGACTTGCAAAATTCGTTTGCAAAACTCTGAATCCGTGGATTCTTCGCAGTCGCCTCTGCATCTGTAAAGTGTTTACAGCGGCGGTCATGGTTACCGTCGCGCAGCAATGAAAGACTATTGCAGTTTAGGGTTTGTTTAATCCTATCGTAACCAAATAAAAGCTACTCATCGCTTTTTTTCTTAATAAACGTAATTTGTTCAGGTGTAGTGTAAAATTCTGTTACTATACAGGGTGTTTCATATTTCATTCACCCCCTGTATATGTCTTTATACAGGGGGTGAATCTGCGCATAATTTTAAGTAACAAAGTTCATATAAACATGTCCGTAAATGTTTCGTTACCAAGGTACAGGGTGTTAATGTTTCAATAATTTTTCTATTTTTTCTTTGTATCTCACACAGTTTTTGAGATATGCAGCTCAAATTTGAAACGTAGACTAACTTAGATTACCTTCATCGTTAACCCTACCTAATAGTTGTCACGATCTACAGGGTGATACTTTTTCTGGGGTCGGGCGTCCTTTTAGCTCTCTAAGCTTTCTTTCGGTACGCCACTGGTCTTTTCTAATAATATGTAATTATCTAAGTAGGCAGAAGTATGTTTTGGAAACCGAAGGTCAAAATTAATAAAACAAAATAATCATTATCCGTTAGTCAGAATTTTGAAATCCGGTTTATAATTTACCAAGCTACATGACATCATTTTTTATTTTTTTGCTCCAAAATGGCCGCAGATACGAAAAAATTGCAAGGGATAAAAAAGTTTCTAAATCGAACAGGAGATTAAACCCCTATTCTAGAAAAGACCAGTAGCGTACGGTACTCCAAAAAAAAAGGTATATTTGTTGAAATTCGGTAACATGTACCATTTTCGAGAAAAATTAAGTCGCATAGCAGCAAATGGGGAACAATTTCAGCATCTACTATAATATTTCGAGTTTTGCTCATTTATTTAATTGTGCAGCTATTTTGTTCTGCCTCTCTTCGAGTCTGTTTCCTAATATTTCTCTGTTCTTACCACTTTTTTTAAGCATTCATGTCCATCAACAATTCAGTCAATTCAACAGTTGTTTATTTTAGTAGTGGTAGTGTAAAAGTTTACAAAATCTAAAATTAGTTATTAATAGATAATTTATTACCATAATTTGTTTATTTTGATTTACTTTTTTAAATGTTACTTTACAACAAGATTAAATTTTGATTTTTTTTATTTCTTTAAGTTAATAAAATATTTTACAATTTAACTGTTTTATGTGATACGTAAGAAATTAAAATTATATTCTTAAATGCAAAGACTATTGGTAGCTAAATGTCTTCAGATCATTCAATGGTAACGCTCTTTATCAATTTAATATTCTGTTAATGTATTTGTGCTGCTTTATATGAGCCAAATAATGCATCTTAATTTTTCTCGAAAATGGTACATGCTAACGAATTTCGGCAAGTACACCTTTTTTGTAGTATGCTTTAGAGTTTACAAAACCGTTTAGAAATTTTGACTTTTAACATATATTTTTTTCGATTGTACCCCTCCAATTACCTACATCGGTGACACTGATTTTCAGAAAGAAATCGTTTGCATATTATTCTTAACGTCCAGTTGATGTTTACTCGTATCCAAATGTGGACATTTTTATCTTTAGCCGATTTAAAGATAATTAAGGGGGCATATCGAGGTCCGAGGGAAGTAAGGAGCGCAGGGGGGTTCCTATGCTTTTCTTATGGGACTAAAGCCCGCTGCCAATTTGAAAAAATTAAATTCTATTGAAATTATTTGCGATAAACATTACCTATATAGCAAAAAAAATCTACTCATATGCACATAGCATACATATTGACTAATGAACAACATAAAAATATCATATTTAAGTAGTTTTAAATTATATTTAATGAACGCATAAAGACTATGTAGATGTGGCAACAGCGCTAATAATTGACTAGCAGTTGTACACACTGCGAACCTACAGACCTCGGACATCGGAGATATTGCGCGTCAAATTCGGGTAAAGATGCGTACGCGTTCAAAAATGTATTGTGTGTAAACTATGTACAATATAATTATTATATATAGCAAATATATCGTATTATCCTCGCGAAGATTTGTATCCTTTATTTAAAATCCGTAAATCATGTGAACTGGTAAAACAACGAGAATTATGTTAATTTAGTTCTAAAGAAATGAAATGACACTCGCGCCCATCTCTCGTCCAAGTCAAAGAAAATGTTGGATGCAATTTTGAAGGTTCTGTGATAGAAATTACATTATTACTCACTGTTCGTGTTTTTAATCTCTATTTTAGTAATGTTACAAAAGTTTTGCAACTATAACTAATTTTTTAGATATAAAGTTTGCTGAGAAATATTTATGTTCCTTTGTTATTCCGTACAAATGCTTTTATCTCAAGTATTACTAATTATATTAATCAAGTAAAGAAAACTTTATGTAACCCTAAATATTGCTGGGTAATGATTACGATGTTTTTATAAACCATTAAATATATTAAAAGGATTTATCAACTGTATTTTTTATTCCAATAAATATATCACAGCTTCCTAGTCTTTTTTAATTAATCTAGTTTTTTAAAAACATTACAAAAAATCATCTGTTGTGGATAATTTATTGTTGATAACAATGTACATGGGATTTAGGAAAAATGTATATGTTTGAAATCAATTTCGTTTTTATCAAGTCTTTCAAATGTATTCCCTCCTTGCTGTCAGCTGATTGCGACGTTGCCACATTAATCCTCAAGTCAGACAGAAATGCAATTATTGGTTTCTGTTTCTAATTAATACAGCTGTACTATGTTCAAAACTTACATTAGTTTTACATCAAAAATAAGATAATACTGTGTACTATCTATGGAAAAGTTTTGTTTCACAATTTCTACATTTTTTTCTCAGTTATGGGCAAAAAAAGAGCCGCACCGTCCATCTTCGCCATATAAACCTATGTTAAAATGAACAACTTTCAACAACAATATCTCAAAATCTAGATTCAAAAAAAATTTCAAAAAAATATGACGCACAGAGGGAGAACTAGGTAATACGCTATATAAATTTCAAGTGCATCTGTGCATTTGAGTAAACCCGACATACCTTCTTAAGGAAAACCATTTAGACCATATGAACTACCCCCATGAGGAACTTGCACACAAGTTCTTTTGAAACATGAACGGGGTCTCTTGTGTTTTTTTTCCAAAATTGTAGAAGTTTAAATTAGTTGTAGAACTTGCAATGCTATCTATTAAAAAATGAATGGTGCGAGAAATACCAAACTTTAATGAAAAATTAATTGAAAAGTTTATTTCGGACAAAAGCAGAAGAATTGGCTTTCACTATAAAAAATAATGTTGAATACATCTTCCCTATATTTCAATAGTACTTAAAATAGAACTACCCAATTATATTTCATTTTTTTTTTCAATACTCTGTGCCTAAATTTTTCTGCCCTGCCTGGCGTGGAAGTCATGAGCCGCCACTTCGTAAATCCCAAAGAGGGCCGATATATATTTTTTTTAAATGAAAGACCTCTCTCAATTTTCCACGAGGAATCACTTCCTTTTTTCTTACTTATTTAGTTACATTCTGCAAATCAAAAGAGCAAACCCATTGAACTAAAAGTAACATCGATTCCAGGCATTGACCAAAGACTCGGTAACGGTTACAGTAGACGCCGTGGTGTACTACCGGATACAGGACCCCCTCAACGCCGTTGTCAAGGTCACAAATTACAGGTCGGTAAATTTCTCGGAAGCGTCTAACCTCCCGTCGGCGGAAGTGTCTACCTCTCCCGCTTAATCGACCGGTAGTAGTCGAACTTCCGTTGGTTTTCGACGCAATCATTTACCGTCAGTCTTTATTCCAGTAACTCTACGCGACTTTTAGCCATGACGACGCTAAGGAACATCCTGGGGACGAGAAACCTGGCGGAGATCCTCTCCGACAGGGAGGCCATCTCGCACGCGATGCAGACCTCCTTGGATGTGGCCACGGACCCCTGGGGCGTAAAGGTGGAGAGAGTAGAAATGTAAGTCTCGATAAATCCTCCGTAAACTAGAAAAATAATTGTTTTGTTTCCTCAGAAAGGACGTCAGTTTGCCGCAACAGTTACAGAGGGCTATGGCCGCCGAGGCTGAGGCTTCGCGAGAGGCCAGGGCTAAGGTGATCGCAGCTGAGGGAGAAATGAAGGCTTCCAGGGCTTTGAAAGAAGCCTCGGACGTCATAAACGAGAGTCCTGCTGCTCTCCAGGTAATATTTGAGTTTATTTCGAGCATAAGGAAGCTGATATGTTGAAAAGGACATAAAGCCACTCTTTATTGTGTCCCCACACTGCCATTTGTCTTAGTTAATATAGTTTATGATTTGCGAGCAGAGGTGTAACAATAGCAACGTTTGCTACTCAAGAATGTTATGACAATAATCGTGTCTACGGATAAATATAAATGCAAGTGGGGTATTCGAGCAAACCTTTAGGTTAGGCCAATTTAGGTTAGGTTAGGTTAAGTTATATTAGTTTTATTTTTTCCATTTTCATTCAAATCACCATTTGGTTACAATTTGATAAAGAATAATAAGTTCTCGTTGTAGATGAAATAAATTGTAAATGATATCATACAGAGTGAGACTGAAATGAGTACTAATATGCAATCTATAATTTTTTTTGCAAAAAAAATTTAGAATTTAGAATAATTACTCCACTATTGCACTTTATGGAGAGGAAGGGTATGTAGAATGATGATGATACTAAGTACGCAAATTGCAAATAAGTGGCAAATTTAGGTACGTGTTTTTGAACCGAATTTGAAATGTTCAAGTAAAAAATCTCGCGCGAGACCGAGAGCGACGTTCACACGCATGCGCGGGCTAGGCGCTCCTACTTCCGTGTGCAGGCCGTTCATTAACGTTAATTTTTACTGCTGCTAGCGCCTTTGTTACATGAACTATCAACGTAAAACTTTCTGAAAATAAAACTTTCACCCTTTCTTTAATTGTCTCTAAAATCCCGGTCTGCTACATCCAATAGTTAATTAACAATTAACGTTATAAAAAAGATATCTTGGGAACAAAGAGGCGTAGGTAATTCTGTTTTTTAAATTACCGTAAAAATAAGCTCTATTTAATGCAAAAAGAGCGAATTCCCGAGCGACTTTTGCCTGACCCTGAGACAATTTGTTTATAACACTGTTTTGCACGTCCTACTTTGTTAGTTGTAAAGGACAACTTAATTTCAACTTTTTAAAATTTTCCTTTTTCGGTATGTTTCTTTGGCTCAATATAAACCTATATCTACGATATTAACTTTTAAAATTAACGGTTAGTAATTAAACAATTAGTTGAAAGAAAACGAACGAAATTAATTAACAAATAGCTGGAACAACAATTTCACAGTCAATTGAATCAGCCTTTGGCACACAAGTTGGTCATTGGGTTGACCGTCTTTTCCATAATTTCCTTAAAAATACATCGCTTTTTGCAATAATAAGGCGCAATTTTGGAAAACTGATTTTTCCGCGCTCAACCCTTATTTTACACTTAACAAATTGGTGAAATATGACTTTATGTACCTTGAAATGTAGGTAATTTAATTACCTACAACATGAAATGACTAATTTTCCGATAGGTGGTCTAGATTTTCGTGGTCAGTAAAAAAAGTGAAAAAACACGTACATTTTTCACTTATTTGCAATTTGTTCACTTCTTTCGAGTTACTTTTTTGATATTATCATTCTACATACTCTGTCCAGTCATAAAGTTCAATAAAATGTCTACTAATTATTTCTTCATGTTCAAACTTTAATTCGACCGGAGTATAAAGTAGGTCAACTGTGCAGTGTTGTCGGTGTTACACGAAACTTTTCTACCGTAACTGCAGTAGAAAAAAAATACACTAATTTAGAAAGTATTAATTGTTCACTTGTTTGAATTGCAGCACTCGCCTACAACTCGTACCTTAACATTTTCAAACGCGTGGAAAATTAGCACTTTTCTGCACTTCTTGATAAAATATTTAAAGATCTGTTTAGTAAATCTAATTCCAGGAACCCCTATTTTTGACCCCGGATTCGGAAAGAGCGGGAAATTCTACGTTCAAACGATGTATCATATGTGGGGTCGGTAGGCCACACAAGGTCATATATAGGTCAATTTTATTTTTTCCTCAATCTTTGCACCCAAATGTCCCGCCAAAGGTAAGAGTGTAACAAAAAATGTTTCAAATAAAAGTTGCTTGACTCCTAGGGGGACATGTTATGGTGACCCCGGCTCTGATCTTGGGCGTGATTTTCAAAGCCATTTCAATGCCAATTTTAGTTTTTTACAGGAAACACTTAATTTTATCCTCGGATTTGTGTAGAGCGGAAAATTCTACATTTAATCTAGAATCCGAGGTTAAAACTAAGTTCCCTGTAAAAACTAAAATTAACCTTGAAATGACTGAAAATCACGCCCAAGGTCAGAGGCAAGGTCACCATAACACGTCCCTTTCGGAGTCTAGCAACTTTTATTTTTAACTTTTTTTGCTTAACCTTACCTTTGGCGGGAAATTTGGGTTGCAAAGATTGAGGAAAAAATGAAATTGACCTATATACAGGGTGGTCCGAATTTTATGCAGGAAACTTCGAGGGCAGATAGATCTCTTTAACATAATAGGTGTTTACCTTATAAACATAGGTGTTGAAGGGCTTCGTTTTACAGATACAGGGTGTTGAAGTTGTTAAAAAAAATTGATTTTTTATTTATATCTCCGGAATCTATTAACCGATCTCAATAAAATTTGGTATAGATAATGCATGACAGTAGGCCTTGTATTCCTTAAAATATGAGCTTTAAAGATTCAACCAGTAGTATACAACTGGACAGGGGTCGCCCTCTTTTTATAAAAAAAACTACGCCACTGTAACGGATTTATATTCTAATGCACAAAATACGGAAAAATGGTAACTTGAATTTTTTCCCTAAAGTTTACCATTCTCAAGTTATTCATACCAATACAATCCCCTTGTGGCAGATACTTCTAACCATAATATTACAAGAATATTTATGTTTATGCTTAAAAGTAAGTGCAATTTGTAAGCACATCAACAAAATTCTTTATACACGTCGCTTTCATCTTTTTGGATTAAAACGATATTTGGAAAATCACGACGGCGCAATGAAAGGCACAGAAATTAAATTTTAAGAACATTGGGGCGAGTAAATCGAAAATTTGAAAAGTTCTACATAAGGATGGTAAAAATCCGTACCATTTACAATCTGTGCAAAATTTACTTCCGGGAGATGTAGAGACACCTAAATTTTTGTTAGTGGTTGTGTTAAAGTCACAACATAATTCAGAATTCTTATTAGAAATACTTTGGAGCAATGAGGCTACGTTCACCAGGCGAGGGGTAGTGAATTTTCACAATATTTGGTGACAAGAAAATCCTCATGAAATTTGGACAAACAAGATCTTTTCAACACGAATTTTCTGTGAAAGTGTGGCTCGCAATAATTCGGACCTTTCTTCTTGTCACCCCATCTAAATTCCCAGTCATTTCTAAACTTTCTAGAAAACCATCTATTTGAATTATTAGAGGATGTTCCATTCATACCACAAAATAGCTGGATACAAATCGATGGTTCTCCTGCACATTTTAGGAGAATAATACAAGAATGGCTTAATGAAAATTATTTGGGGCGATGGATAGGTTGAAGACCAAATGCCAATGTCAACCATAATGGTACAGAGTATCCAGTGTCTTGGCCAGCCAGATCGTCAGATCTAAACCCCCTGGACTTCTACGTTTGGGGTTACCTATCTGAAAAGTAAAGTTTACTTTACTCCAATAGATACAAGACCACAACTACTGCAGCGAATAGAAGACGGGTGTAATGAATTAAAAGAATACCACCACGATATTAGTTAGGTAATTCCATTAATCATTAATAGAAATTGTCAGAAATGTATCGATGTGGATGGTTCGCATTTTGAACAATTGCTGTAAATACGTCACGTTAATTTCGTTTCTTGTTTAATTGTTGTTGCTTGGTAAATGTATTTTTATTATTATTTTCATTTAAATTGTCCTTATTTGTAAAGATAGTGGATTAAGCCTCCAGGGGAAACTAAAACACACTAGGAACACTATGATGTGGAAATAATTTTGTCGATCTGCTTACAAATTGCACTTACTTTTAAGCATAAACATAAATATTCTTGTAATATCATGGTTTGAAGTGTCTACCACAAGGGGATTGTATTGTATTGGTATTTTTTACGTATTTAGTGCATTAGAATATAAATCCGTTACAATAACTTGTAAAAATACAGTGGCGTAGTTTTTTTTTTATAAAAAGAGGGAGACCCCTGTCCAGTTGTATACCACTGGTTGAATCTTTAGAGCTCATATTTTAAGGAATACAAGGCCTACTGTCATGCATTATCTGTACCAAATTTTATTGAGATCGGTTAATAGATTCCGGAGATATAAACAAAAAATCAATTTTTTTTAACAACTTCAACACTCTGTATCTCTAAAACGAGGCCACTATGTTTATAAGGCAAACACATATTATTTTAAAGAGACCCTGTATGATCTTGTGTGGCCAACCGACCCCACATATGATACATCATTTGAACGTAGAATTCCCGCTATTTCCGAATCCGGGGTCAAAAATGAGGGCTCCTACTTAAAAACACAAAGTTGACCTTCAAATGGCCTTGAAAATGACCTTCAAGGTCATAGGCAATGTCACCATAACATGTTCCCCTCCGAATCCAGTAACTTTTGTCTGAAACATTTTTCGCTAAATATTATGGGCAGAGATATCCGGGTGGAGGGATTAAAAATGGTCTAGTCTGTATAGACACAATGATTACGACTTATTGTAGTTTATACCGACCTATAAAATATAATCATTGAACAACTAGAATAAAGACAGACTAAAAGGGAAACTGGGAGAGTAGGCCGAGTACGACCCTGTTAAGAGCCGCGCCTGCCGAACATAGATCAGTTTTGCAACAAAAAGCGCGCAGAGTTCGGATTCCATCAAAATGTATATGCATATATTAAAAAAGTTAATATCTCGGTAAATATTTTAAATAATGACATTCACTGGCTACACTCTGTTAGAGAACGGCCAGGCCGACTGATCTATAGCCTGCCTCTTCGATGCAGTGTACAATTATTGCTTTACTCAAGATATCTTGTTTTTCTGTTTGTGCAGCGCTAGTTGAGTAGTTCCGACGTTAAATTGCCCGGGAGAGCTGTATAATCAGTTTGTGGATAATTCAATAACGGTTTGAAAATAAACCGCAACGAGCTAATTGGACATCACGCTCTTCGGAATCAACTAATAACTTGATTTATGCTATACATAAAAGGGTTCCGTGCGGCAGTAATGGAGCTCGAACGGTGGCCTCCGTTATTGAATTGGAAATTTGCTGTTACCGGCTTAATACGTAAGCGTATTCAGTTTCCCTGGACATAAGAACTAATAAACAGAAAAAAATCTGAAAAAAGGTGAAAATATGACCGCAATAACAAGAAACAATGAGGAAGCTTTAAATAGAGCGATAGTTTTTAAATAATTGTGAGGTTATGTTGTCTTGCGTTCAGTGCTACTAACTCTGACGAAAGATAATTCCTACAGCTATTGGCTAAATTTCCATTTCTGTTATAAATTTTAAAGGCATAATTATAGTTCAACATTTTAAATAACAAAATATATTTTTTTAATTGCGATTCAATAATAAAACATACTTAACATCACAATCTTTTTAAAAACAAAGTAGTGACAATGAAAATGTTCAGTATAATAGATACTGGTTAACTTTATTAATTGCTGCCAGCATGAAAATTCAAATCTATCGTGAGAAAACGCTTCTTAGTCCAGCCACTGAAGGCGAAAATAAGGTAAAAACTCCCAATTTTTTCGGATAGCATGGATTTTCCTGAAAATTTGCATGCAAGCTCATCTGACCCCCCACTTCAAAAGTTATATTGTCTAGATGTGTGCTTTTTTCTATTTGGGGGTGAAAACTACCCTAGTTCGAAAAAAATGCGAAAATCGCAGATTTACGTATTTAAAAAAGATTCAGTTCATGTTCAAATATGTTGGATAAAGTCCCATTCATGTTTTTTTAATATAATTTATGAAATATAATTACTTTTCAACCCTTAAAAATCCTTAAAAACTACCATTGCATGGCCAAAAAAATAGAAAAAAAAAGTTTTCCGAATGTACACATACATACATGTGAACTCGGATACGTGTGTGTATGTATATTATTAAAATACTTACTCAAATCAGTTCACAAGTGCTCCAAAATACACAAAGATGATGGTAATTTACCCGCTCCGAAAAAATTTGATTAATTTTTTTACCATAACTTTTGTAATTTGAAAGTTATTCATTTACGCAATAAACCATTTTGTAGGGAATTTAAAGCACTTTAAGTTCTGTGATTTCCAGTTTTTTTTTGAGTCCTTCGTTTTCTAGATTTGTAAGCTAAAAGGGCCCATGAAAGGCAGTCTTGGAGCTTAGTTTTGAGCTTCTAACGGTCATAACACAGTCAAATTTTTTCCTACAAAAAATTTCAAAAAGCAAATTGTCCAGTAAGAAAAAACCTACAATTTCTTAGTCTATCATTTTTTTTATAACTTTGTTAGTTTTTGAAATATTTTGAAAAGGACAGATTTTATAAAAAAATTGAAAAATTTTATTCAAAAGTAAATATTTTACGCTTCTGAAATCGTTCAAATTCCCAGAATCTACTGTTAATACATAAATAAAGTAAATTGCAGAAGGAATACGTTTAATTTTTTTTTCCGTCAAATCATTAATTTTAATTTCGATTCGATACAAAAAATTCTTATAGAACATTTTTTGATTTGAATTCGTCCCTCAATCGAATCGTGAGGTTATTTTTAATAAAAAAATCCCACCCTCCAGAAGGGGTGGCATCCACCCTTAGGGTAAAAGCACACATCGGCACTATATAACTTTTGTTTCTTGGGCTATTCCCTAGCTACAGTTCAAATTTCACGTCAATCCATTCCATCCGAAAAAATTGGTAGCCAAAATGCTTCAGTGACTGAACTATCTTGAAATGTTCATTTCTTAACCACTTTGCCGAATTGATATTCCTGTACTCTCAGCAACACTCTCACGAACTGCTTCGATGTTTTCTGTTGGACGACTTGTTGAAGGACGGCCAGAGTGTTTAAGATCACTAATTGCTCCAGTCTCTCTGAATTTTTCAATTAATATCTTGATGAAATTAAATCACTATTCCGACCCGACCATATTTTGTACGAAAATTGCAAACTGTATCTTTCAATCTTAATAACCCTGAACTGTCACGCTATCTCTTTTTTCGTTGGCAGCACTTTACCGCACAAGTGGCGGAAAATTTAAGTGTTCGTGATATAAGTATATCCCAAATGCCAACGGAAATTATTCTGTCGTTCTCAAATACTTTCGATGCTATTATGAAACCGGATGAGGAGTATTTTTTCCAGTGAATGTCGATTACGCACTTCTATTTTTACATTTAACTTAATTAAAACAAATTCGAAGCCATATTAATGACTGTCTGTCGGTTTTAACTACGGATGTCTATAAAAATTATGTTATAAATTTATCAATGAGTTTAATTTATCTCTGTATTACATATACCTACATAACTTGCCGTTCTATTAATATTGTTTGTGATAATGTAATAAATTAAATAATAATTATTAATACTGTACTTTTAATGAACACGAGGGCGAAAAATAATGTAAAATTATTTAATTAAATCTATATTGTAGACAAATGGAATACCTATTACAAAATGACGTTAACACAAATTAATTATTAAAATTTTAATAATAATTTTTTTTATGTTCGCTGTAATTATATACGTATAAAATATTGTTAAAACAAAAGTTTTAATTTATCATTATACGCTTTTCAATATGTTTACTCAATTCTTTGTGTTGTAACATATTAATACATTTTTTTTTCAGCTGAGGTATCTTCAGACTTTGAACAACATTTCAGCTGAGAAGAACTCCACTATAATCTTCCCATTGCCCATCGATCTCATCAGTTACTTTGTGGAAGTAAAAAAAGCGCACAACTCGAAAAATTCGGCATGACATTTTTCTAAAGTTGTATAAGCGCTGTTACTAACAAGTATTCTATAATGTTGATAATTATTATTAATGTTCTTATATTTTTATGGTTTATTTTGTAAATATTATGGACAATCATTCTAGTCTTGTTCCAAACACACTTTATACGGAAAAAATATAGGTATATAAATAACCAATATCTTTTTGTGATATTTTTTCTGTCTGTATACTGTGAAGCTGACTTTAATTCTTTTGACTATAAAAAATAGTATAGCGACTGGCTAAATTGGAAAAATTCTCTAAAATTGAAAACCAATGAAGTTACTCAGGATTCTTTTGCGCCATCAAACTACCTCAGAAAAATTTTATGTAAAATTACAGTACAGAAATCTAACAAAGTCAAACTTGCTTATACAAATAAAGTAATTTTACAATAAACGAAGTGGCTTCAAAATAATCCAAACTGTACTGGGTTTCCCATTTCAATGGAAACAGCTCAATATCTTATGAATTATTTATTATATAAAAAAGTTTCAAACAAATGTAGCATTTATCAGGGATATATTTTCTTAAATATCACAATTCCCTAAAGGCAATCGAATTGCAACTTTGTTTTTTTAAACGGCAATCTATATTTTTTATTCTGGAATGTTGTTTCTCTCATTGACATATTTTGTTTGACACTTAAAAACAATTACTAAACTACTTAAAATATTAAAGATACCATCTAGATGATTTTCTTAACTTTCCTCGCATTTTTAAGGTATTCCACAGAAAAAAGTTAACGGGTTAAGATCAGGAGACCTAGCTGGTCATAAAATGGGCATACAATCTTGTAGTAACTGAAGAGAACTCAGGCGATGCCGACACTGAAGAACAGCGAAACATTTGGCAGCATTGGATGCGATCGTTACAGAGGCATAACAGCAAAAAAATCACAGTTGAACGTGGTGACCACTGAACTGGAGCATTGTGTCTCCTGACTATCCATTTGCCTGAGTACTGATCACTTAAAATTAAAAGTGAGATGGTGCTCCTTCATGCATATGGCATATCAAGCTGTTTCTGAAATACGTGCCTTCTTTGAAAAAGGTCTAAATACTTCTGTTTTCGAGAAAATTAATTAAGAAAATTAACCATAAACGTAAGTCGACAACCTAACAGTAGAACAGTGCAAAAGGCAGTTCAAAGGTTACGAGATACTGGAAATGTCCACCTGACATATGAAGGTCGTGGACGGGGAAGGCTGAAACATGTTTTCGACAACGGAGTTTTGTAAATTTTTACAACTTTTCGCAAAGGTGGATAGGACGAACGTCTACTGTCGATGCAGCAGATTTTTTGTGTATTTTTGCTGCACTTAATGAAATTCGACTAATACCTGGAGTATTTGCACATACGCCGTCTAATTTTGACCATCGTTTGGAAGCACGTTTATTAGCACATGGAAATAATTTTGAACAATTTTTGAAGAGCATCTCGTATATTAGTAAGTAATTCGTTTAAATTTTGTGTTACATTTAAACGAGGTTGGAATAAATTTAAGCATTTTCGAAAACAGAAATTTAAACCTTCAAAACCGCCAGCGTTTTCGGACTGCGGCGCACGGCAACTTCGATATCAAAGGCACAGCTGGCTGCCGCGCCAGGAACGGCTTTAGATTTGTTTAAACCTTCATGTGAAAATTTTTTTTTTTTTTTCAATTTAAAACGTAATGTTTTAGTTAAACCGTCAGTTGCTTAATAAAAGTTATTCATTTTCGTGCCCTCTATCACCCTTTTTAAGGAACACAACAACAGTAGCCTCAGAATTAACCCTTGCGGAACCTCTGAAGATTGATAGAATTTATTTGACTGAAATTATTTGTACATACTGATATCTATTACTAAAATAAGATTTAAACGAAGATAAAAGAGCAGGGGAGATACCAGATGATTCAATTTTACTGTTAATACATTGTGATGAAGCTGATTGAATGTTTTAGAATAATTCGGTACAGCAGCATCAATCTGACCCCCCGCATCTAAAGCTTCAGCAATAAATTGGGTTTTCTCAAGTAAATTTCAGGTAGTTTGACCATGTTCGTACGGAGATACTAATTTTTCGACATGAAAGTAACGTCGATTGTATAAACATAATTTCAAAGGTTTTAGAGAAGTTACTTATCATGACCATGGGCCGGTAGTTATTATAGTTATGTCGTTCTTAGCACATTCGCGACACTTTCCATATTTGTGGATATTCTTTGTATTTCGACTGCCAGTAGAAAAAATAGTGTATGCAACTCATATCTAATGACTATTAAGAAAAGATTATCTTTTCCTGAAAGGCTTATTTCCACAAGAGATATCATACCTTGGCCTCCTCGATCTCCAGATCTGACACCCTGCGACTTCTTTTTATGGGGTCATGCAACGCAACTTCTCTACAAACATCGACACGAAAGAGCCGCAAATTTGGACGAATTACGGCTTAAAATTAGAAATATTTTAGGATCAGTTACTCCTGAAATTCAAAAACCAAAGAGGTAGGTATAGTCTTTCCGATTTCAATTGAAAAAGCAAGAGGTTGGCAGTATGTACCAGGTTCGGTCGCTGACGCAGCTACTTGGCATTGGAATATTTCAAAAACTTGTTCCCATATTTATTTAGCCGTACCTATATACAGGTCTGGTCGAAGTAAAGGTGGTGGAAAAGAATACGCCTAGTTGAAGAATGCGCGCGCGGGCAAATGGCGTATAACACAGCCGCACTGGGCGACTGGGCAATAAATCTCAGTTGTTGACAAGTGGTTGACAAATTGCCTAGCAGTGAAGTGCAGCAATGCGGAATTTGGTGTGATTCAGGTAATTTTAATTTATTATAGGCACCTTCTATTAATAATTCATATTACAATTGCGAAAGGGAGAAATAAGAGGGATATTTTGTTTACTAATATTACAACATGGCATTTTGGAGACCTTTTGAAACGGAACAAAACGAAATTTACCATCAATATAATAAAATTGTTTGAGGACATAAATAATTAAAATATATTGTTGGCCAAATAATACAAATTTTCTACACATTATATACAAATTATTAGAATTTTTTACCTTTGACAGAAAACTTTTTTAGGGACGCCTATGAAACTCATTAAATTTTATTGCTAGGCGTTTTTATACATGTTCAACTGACCTCGGAAAGACTATACCACTGAAGCACCCCGTACGGCGATTAATAGCTACTCACTACGCAAGGACGCTAAAATAGGTCCTTTTTGTCGACTTCCCGTTTACATATGAGATTATAAACCCTTATTCGTCCCCAAACTGAGATACAAACAACTACCATTTACCACGCCAGTCGTTTTTGCAAACCTGAAGCTCATCCGACTATCCGAAGTAAGTAAATAAATTATGACGACTGCCCCCGCGCGACTAGTCGGTCTCCTTAATTGACGAAACAACCCGGATTAGGGATTATTCGCCATCTGTTGTCGCGCTGAGGATTTCGCAGTTCCGGGTTTCGGAACTTTTCAGAACTATGTTCAGGTGTTTCCCCCCTCGAGTTGACAACTCCAATTACGAAAGTGATCACGTAATTGCCGGAAATATGGCGGAAGTCGGTGCTTGGGGTGAGGGGGAGAGTGACAGTTGCAAGTTAGGGGAGGTCAAGGCGAAACTGCCACTTTGAGACAAGAAAAAAAAAATAAAGTAACACGATTTTTTAATTGCTTCGTTGCAAAAACAATTGAGTGTATTACGAAATGTTTTAATCGATCTCTAAGTCCCCAAAGGCGACAAAAAGTTTTAAAGGGTTAAGGGTCAAAACGATATATGGCATTTAGAAGCAAAAATTTCGAATTTTTTTCCTCTGGATTTCTTATGATTTCTTAAAGGTGATCAACGATAAAAGTTTTTATCTTTCAGAAACTAAAAAGTTTCAATTTGCTTTTTTTTTATTGATCTACGACCATTTTCGTCACGTTACAGTCCATTAATTTTTGTGACTAGTGTATACAGGATATTTCTGAAATAAGTGCATTCCTTGAAAAAGGCGACAGAGGGCACAAATATGAGATATTTTTATTAAGCAACTGATGATCTTACTCTAAATGCTTCCGTTTTCAAGAAAATTGACCATAAATGTAAGCCTACCATGTGCATCTTGTGCATGTGCACAGTCAAAATGTTTGGAATTCGCTACATGCCTGAAGAGCTTCTCTAATTGGCTGATGTTCCACGTGACTTCCACAATCAAGCAAATCTGATGGTAAGTCAGTATGTACCTTGACTGATATTATTGAAAATGTTCCAGAATATGATGAAGATCATTTTATTGAACAGGACGGTGCTTCTCTGCTTTATGCGTTAATTGTCCGTCAGTATTTGGACCAACGTTTTCTACGGAATTGGATTGGGAGAAGAGGCATCATTGAGTGTCCTCCACGATCACCGGATTTGTCGCTCCTTGATTTCTTTTTGTGGTGATACCTAAAAAGTAAAATCTATAAAACACAGCCAGCGTCGCTGGAAGATTTGCGTCAAAGAATCGTCGACGAATGCCATCGAATCACTCCGGGAATGCTTGGGAATGTGCGCGAACGTTTCGAACAAAATCTTTATTCTTGTATGGAAGCGGGCGATCATCAGTTTGGACATTTAATCAACTAAGTATGTAGTAAGTAACTAAACATAATTTAAATTTTAAAATATAAAATTTTTTCAAAGTAATGTGCGGAATTATAAAATTTAAAGTCTGTTGTAAAGAGAATTGTAAGAGCTTTCAAAAGAAATATTACTCAACCCCCAATGCCATTTAAATATTTTGGGATGATGATTACCCTTGCTTGGGGGTGAAAGTAGCGTAATTAAAAATACCAGCAAAGAATGTCCCCCTTTAATCTAAAATCGACGGGTCTGAGCATTTTTCTACATCTTGACGCAGTTCCCGAAAATGGCTCTCGTTTTCATTTGGCCACCCTGTATATATGCAATCTCCTATGTTCCACATGATAAATAGTCACTCACTAATAGAATATCGATTAGATACGTTTATTTGTTGAATTACATAAAGACATAAAAAATTGTTTTTTCTACCGTCTGACCAAAATTTTTGCCGGGACTATTTGCACGTATGCGAACTAATTTTGGCCGTTGTTTGGAAGCATGTTTATTAGAACATGGAAACAACTTTGAACAATTTTTGTAGAGCATAT